CGAAGCATTGCCAGTCACGACTAACCGATTCATGATTTATTAGAGATTTAATTATCGAATGGCGAATTCGGAAATAATCGCTTTAGTACATTCGGCAGGCACTTATACAATAATAATAATATTAAAATAGCGGGCCAAATCGGCTGCCAGGCCACCGGAAATTGTCTCGGTTTTCCCGATGGCCAGTCCGCGCCTGATTTCCACAGACACGCAGAACGTGCAGGATTCATATATTGTCTTTTCGCGGCTTAATATTCACAGACACTACTCCATATCGCGTTTTGATTCAAGTGCACTGACCTACTTTTGATTTATTCGTCCAAAATGTGTCATATTCCGTCCACGTTAGGCTATAGGAATTCCGTTTTTATGACTGGATTCTACGAACCAGTCAGTGTTTTCCACATCGCGGAAATTATAGGGCCGTGTGTCTCGTTATCATTTTCATAAGTAACTGTAATTTAATTACACATTTTTTCTTAGTAACTGTAACTGATTACAGTTATATTTATTTTGTAATTAAATTAGGTAACGCCGTTACATGTAACTAGTTACTCTCCAACACAGCTGATTGTGAAAATCAAACAATAGACACCTCTAATAAACTAATATTTGGTGACCGTGATTTTGAATCAACACCCTTGTACTTCCAGGAATTTAACTAATTAGCCGTAAGCTCAATGCTAGTCTTTAGAAATATTAAAATAGATGAGTTATTATGCATCTTTATTTTCACTGAAAATACATAGGTATACTTGTGTTGGTATAAAAAATTACTAGTATTGTCAATGCATTTGTATAAAACATTCATGTAGGCAAATTCATGATATAAAAATATAGCTATTTATTGGTATTTAATATTTAAAAAAGTAAAAATAAAATAGATAATTGCATAAAATATAAAGTCAGTATTGCTAAAACTGTGTATACATATGGTTAATATACATACATATATATGTTGTGAATTGAATGTTATTATAAAGTACTTGTATATACATAGGCCTACGGTTAGAAGAAACAACAAAAAATCAGCCAGTTTAAGAACATCACAGCATGCTTTGGTGTAAATTATATTTATGGAGACCTAAAATATTTATTATTAAAAACTCTGCACCAACAGATACATCCAATATAAATATTTTCATTCCCTGGTAAAAAGCGGCATTTCTTGTTCTGCTGCTTGGTGCATCTGCATTAACGTATTTAGATGTTTTTGCGCATCCCATCCCAAACTGTACATGAAATCACAGATTATTATTAAACTAACAATTAGAACTCAAGGATTGTTCGAAAAGCTATCACTTCTTATGGGAAATGTCTTTTCAAGGACCAACTTAAGAGACACTTTTGATTTAGAAACATGCCATACCTAACAAAAACAGTGATTCTATTTATGGCACATGCATGATGGAAGCATGAGGAACATCAACAGAGTAGCAACCTGTCCTCCTCGACCACATCCTCGAGTAAACAGTTAAATCACACAGATGCTTTGGATTTCTGTGCTTTTAACACACAGCAGGTGCTCAAGGGCTAATCTCCACCTTGAATTACGAGAACACTAAATGCTACTTTTATTTCAACAAGAGTTGCCTCTAACAACTAATTAAACCCTCCGAGGAAGGGTAAAAAAAAAAAGCATTTCCTGTGCAGCGGAGTAGCCAAAGCAGGCAGGATTTTCTGCTCATTACTGTATAAAACAGGTCTATTGTCTGGCGAGAGACATCTGGTGAGAACAGATTGGGACAAGAATTTTTCTGCGGCCCGCATTCCAATTTTAAAGGATTTTTGCCTATTCAGTGTGCCTATAAGTGTGGGCTTTAAAGAGTTAGCTAATGACGTGTGGGAGGGCTCAGATTAAAATCTGAAAGGTGCAAAAACCTAAAGAACGAGGGGAAGGACTCCCATTTGACCCCAGTGCAAAAAAAAAAAAGTCCTGTAGGGGGACTACTGTATGTTTACTGTGCAGAAAAACCCTGAAATAAAAAAAATGCCAATCCTGACACTTTAATCCGAGAGGAAGCGAATACAACACTTTGATGCCCATCTGCTTGGCCGGAACCCCAGCTGAGCAAATTTCCCCATGGCTGCCATCGTACCAGCTTCTGTGCTTTTAATTTGAGCAATATGGGCCAATTAATAATCTCCCAGAACAGAGAAACGTAAACATCTAATGATAATAACTAGGCCTTGGACTTGGCTGGTGGGTTGCAATATTCAGTATTTTCCTTCTTTTGTTGTTACAGTTAGCAACATTGGCATTTTTTGCACGTAAAATCTCAACGCTGCAGATATGCTGGGGAGGTTTGAGATGATGCTATGATTGGACATGCCTCCATGTGGCCCTTAGTAGAAAAGCTAAGGATTCTAGAACTGTATCGACTCACAGCATGGAGAATACAAACTCTTCACTCTTGACCTCTACTTCTGCACATATTAATGGGAGTGTTTGCTCACATTCTGCCCCTCTTTATCTCTGTCTCTTTCTGTTGACGATCCGTATCAGCAACAGTCGAGGCCTAGTGAGATTAAACGGAATAGCGCATGAAGCGAGTTGCCGAGACAAGTCCCTGATTTCTGCTGGGAGTGAAACGGCCCCAAATTAACTGTTAATAAAGAACAAGTGTTTGGCTCACCACATTTCATGATAACCAGTGGGTAAATTACAGGGCGAGACATTAAAAGCGCAGTTCTTTTCTATTGTTCTGCTGTCTCTATGGGAGGCCTTTAAACTGCGGTTCCTCACTGCTGATATCACACAAAGCGCTTTGGATGACAGACAGGGTGAATAATTCAACTGTGATATGGCCAAACATATGCAAGTAAGTCAATGCAAACACTTCAACACTGACTATGAACACAATTAATGTGTTAAAGGGATAGTTCACCAAAAATGAAAATTCTGTCATTAATTACTCACCCTCATGTCGTTCCAAACCTGTAAGACCTTCGGGTTACACTTTATTTCGATAGTTCACTTTAGACATTCTACTAACTATAAGTAACTTTGTAACTACATGTCAACTACATGTCAACTAATTCTCATTAATTTGCAACTACATGTCTACTAACTCTCAGAGTAGACTGTTAGGGTAGGTTTAGGGTTAGTAGAATAAGATGACAAAGAAAGTGTTAGAAGATATTAAGCAGACAGTCTACTAATACTCTACTAACTGCTAGTTGACATGTAGTTGCAAAGTTACTTACTGTTAATAGAATGTCTAAAGTGGACTATCGAAATAAAGTGTTACCGACCTTCGTTCATCTTCGGAACACAAATTAAGATATTTTTGAAAATACGAGGGCTTTCTGACCCTGCATAGACAGCAACACAACTACCACGTTCAAGGCCCAGAAACGTAGTAAGGATATTGTTAAAATAGTCCATGTGACATCAGTGGTTCAATGTTAATTTTATGAAGCTACAAGAATACTTTTTGTGCGCAAAGAAAACAAAAATAACGACTTTCTATAAACGACTTTAACAATTTCTTCTCTTCAGTATCAGTCTTCGATGTGCATTCACACATATGATTCAAAAGTGATTTTTGCTTTACACTGAATAAATTTGATACAGTACTATACAACTTATAGGAATTTTTAAAATATCTTAGGCAAGAAGAAAAATGTACTAAAACAAATTCAGACTGTTTATCACAATCCAAGCCACCCTAGAGAATATTGCTGAACTATATCACCATTTATTTGCACTTGTAACAATTATTTAAATTTATTTAAATTTATTCATTTAAATTTATGTATATACACTACTGTTCAAAGGTTTGGGGTCAGTTAGTTAGTTTTTTTTTTTAAGAAATAGGATGCATTAAATTGACCAAAATCCACAGCAAAGACATTTATAATGTAACAAAAGATTTAATTTTCAAAAAAATACTGTCATTTTTAAACTGTCAAATTCATCAAAGAATCATGGTTTCCAAAGTATCATGTTTCCACAAAAATATAAAGCAGCACAAAGTTATATGCAAATCATCATACTAGAATGATTTCTGATGGACCATGTGAGACTGAATAATGGAGAAATTTAGCTTTCAAATAAATAATAATAAACTACATAATAAACTACATTTTTACTGTTTTTATATGGCATTTTTCATATAAATGCAGCCTTTGTGAGCATTAGAGAAAAACAAAATCTTACCAAACCTAAACTTTTGGTGGTGCATTATAAATATAATACACAAACAGATCAATTCATTCCAATTTTAGCATTTTAAATCACTATCTGGCCAATGCAAACAATTGAAGATATAAAAGTCATAATTCAAGCAGGATTTTTCTAGTTGCAACGGTTTTAGCACATAAAGACTGTAAAGCTTTGAAAGCAAATAATCATTTGCTCTAGAAGCTCTTCTGCCCTCAGTAAGTCACACAGAACCATCCTGAAATCACACAAAGCTATAACTTCCCCATAGTCTGCCCTCTGGCATTTGTTTGAACCAATCATTTCCCACAGAAACAGTTGATAACGGCCACCAGAAGCTCTGATATCAAAAACAATCATCGGAAGAACGGCAATAACGCTGCCGCTCCCGAGGACGCCCATGTCAGTGCTGCTGTGGTACTATGGCAACAGCAGCTGCAGGACCGAGAGGTTTAAAATCATTAAAAGAACAGAAGAACAACAGGAATGGGAAAGGTTGTGTGAGGAAAGAGAAGCTGGAAAACAAACAGAGGGAACGTAACCCAGGGGACATCAAGACCTTGGACAACTCGAGATTCTCTGATCTGGAAAAGTGACCTTCCTGTGAAAAAAACACGACCCAACGATACACAAACCCTGCCTGAAATACTAAACAAAGTGTGGTGTTAATGTAGACCTCCAAGGTGCCCTTCCCAGATTCTTCCCTCCTGTTGTCTACTAGTAAATGGGACTCTCACTGATGCATCCTAGGCTTCACATCACATTTAGTGATCAATAAAGGAAGCCTGTGTTTTAATCGATTGATTAATCAATGGACAGAGATGGTGGTACTCACTCTGTGGGCACTGCTCACTGGTGCAGTTGAGAGATTGGAGATCCAGCCCCTGGCATTCTTTCCCACCCGTGCTGGGTGTAGGTTGGGTACATTCCCTGCTCCTCCACATGGTGCAGTCGGCTCCACATGGCGACCATTTACTCCACTCGCTCCAACCTCCGTCCACTGAACACAGACATACATATACAAACAGAGGAAGTAGATTTAGCAATCTATCACACATTAGGGCACAAACATACTCAAACTCAAGTACACAAACATTAATGCGAACACTTCAAATATATGTATATGCAGTAACAACACTGGAGAACAAAAGCTGTTTTTGAAAGATGTCTCTTATGCTCACCAAGTCTGCATTTATTTGATCAAAAATACAGTATAAAGTAACGTGAAATATTACAATTTAAAATACCTGTTTCCTATTTTAATATATCTTAAAATATAATTTATTCCTGTAGTGCAAAGGTGGATTTTCAGCAGCCACTACTCCAGTATTCAGTGTCACATGATCCATCAGAAATCATTATAATATGCTGATTTGGTGCTCAAGAAACATTTGTTACTACTATTAATGTTGAAAACAGCTTTTGCTGCTTAATATTTCAGTGGAAACCATCCCAGCATGCACTGCATGACAATGTCATAAGACACTGATATTTGGTTAAATTTATGTTGCGACGTTGGGTGACCAAAATTTAATATCAATTCAACTTCTAATGTCAATGTTAATTTGATGTCCAATACCGACGTCAGCTGATGTCAACTTTAAGTCAGTGTCAAATTGGCATCAAATACTGATGTCAACCCAATTTTCATTCTCTACCAAAATGCAACGTCTGTCCAACGTCACGTCCAATGTCAACCTGACGTTATATTGACATCCTGTGCCTACTGGGATGATACACTTCCATTCAAAAGTTTGGGTTAACTTTAAAAAAAAAGAAGTTTATTCAGCAACAGTGCATTAAATTGATCAAAAGTGACAGTAAGACAGTTATGATACATAAAAAAAAAAAAAAACTTTCTATTAATCAAAAAATCCTAAAAAGAAGTATCACCGTTTCCACAAAATATTAAGCAGCAAAGACTACTGCAGCCTTGATATACATAAGAGAGGACTTTCAAAAATTTGTAAACATCCTAATTATTCCAAACTTTTGGCTGCCAGTGTATCTCAATACTCCATTAAATTAGATGTTGTTATTCAGTTTGCTAGTTATAAATATTTTGACTTTACAGTAGCTAACATATCTCAGCCACACACGTGCTGTATGGCCTTCTGCTCATGTCAGTCACCGTTTTTGACACACAGTGTATTAAATAATGCAGCTTATGCAACTTGAATGCTGTCATACTGATGGATGCAATGCCTGTCTCTATGATACACTACAACTACATGCAGACGTGCCACCTCTGCAGCCGCAGTTTTACATATGCAGCACATTAACCACCACATTTTAAAACACTATTCCTAGTTTTTAGCTAAGCATTAGAGACTTGAATTCAGCTATGAAGTATATATTTTTTTTAAACTTATGTGGCATTTCATTTCTTTCCCTGAAGTCCAATTATGTGTTAGTAAAGGTTTTTCCATCAAAAACAGTCACATTTTTGTTTTACATGACCATTTTCCACCTTCTCTCTAAAGATTGATGTCTTAAAAGTACAGTAGCAAACAATTTAGTTAAATTATGGAATTAAACAGATTGTTCTGCTACTCTGCCTCCCTTTAAGAATATGTTAACGTTGTTCAGAATGTTCACCAATCTCATCAAAGGCTGCATTTATTTGAATAAAAATACACAGAGTAAAACAACACTAATATTACTGTTCAAAGTAAAGTTTAAAAGAATATAATTTAGGCTGTTGGAAATAGAAATCTTATGTATCATTATAAATGTCTTTACTATCAATTTAGATTTTTAATCAATTTAATGCATCCTTGCTAAATAAAAATATTAATTAAAAAAATCTTAAATCATCTGGGTTTTGCCAAGCTACTGAATACTGATTTGATTATATATAAATGTTGTGACATCAAAACCATGTATGACACATTTGTGCAACTAAGCATCCATGAATGGTTTGGGTGGAATGAAAAAATGAGCTTTGCATTCACAATATTAAAGTATGAAGATGCGCGTTCAATATCGCATGCGATTTATCGTGCAGCCCTAATTTCAAGTGTGAAAAGCCCATAGGAGGATAAAAGGCAGGTGGAAAATTCTGTATGTGTGTTTGTGCCCAGTCTAACGACACTCAAATGTCCTATTTCCTCCCAAGCCATGGAAGAAGTATTTTATTTCCATTTCTCATTCTCACAGGGCCGCGTTATTCATCAGCTGGACCGGAGGCCATTTTGGAAGTCTTATTCGGGCTGACGTTGTGCCAGGTTGTGGAAGGTTACTACAGGGCTAATGTGAGCAGCTCTGGTAATGAGCTCTCTAGGGGCGTTGAGCTGTGCCCTCACAGGACCAAGAGCAGTGTGAATTATGGTACTTGGATACAGAGTTACTGATGACTCCATTCGACAGACTGAGGATCAGACACACTAGGATGCTCATTAACCCCTGGCTTTATAGCATATTCACTGTGCGGTTCTGCTCTGCTAATGCGACCCTGACAGTACAGTGAGGTCACCGCTTGGCCAAACAACCAGCTAATAAAGTACTTATGTGGCTTAGCGATAAGAAAGATGAAGAGTAGGCAGTCATAAACGGCTGTGAATAAAGGCGATATTTAGTCATAGCCTGCCAGACGAGAGTGGGTTTTTCATATTTAAATATACAGAGAGATTATTAAGTGACACAGAATGATATTCGTACTAACAAAGAATGTGTGGAGTGCATCTAAAAGAGATGCTGACATAGCTTTTGATCAAACATTTGGCAGGGAAAGTGGCGAGGCAATAAAATAATTGTCCTTGTTTGCCATTGAGTGGACTCATTTGCGAGCAAGGCAGGCTTATATCATCACACTAGCCTGACTGAACAGGGAACTGAAGCTTAATGAATACATTACAATAAGAAGCATGTTCCTGTCTCTGATTCTCCGCATGAATTTTAAAAGGCAGGTGATGAGAGATCAACAGCTAAGAGATGGAGAAAAGATTCTCTTTCTTCTCCTGGAAAAACTGTACAAAGCAACTAAGAGAAAGTCTCTTGGCTGATCTGAGAATAAAACAGTTGCAGATAAAACACTAGCAGCAATATAGACATTAAAGTCAACATAAAACAGCATTCTCAACCCATTTGACTTTGATAACGTGACATTTTCAAATAAAAAGGATTTTTATGAAGTTGAAAAAAAAAAATAGTAGGGCTTTATTTAATCCCTTGGGAATTGATTGGATTATGAAAAGTGGACATTCTGAAGCAGCACATACCTGAACAAACTTGCAGTCGATTGTGAAGGACTACTTGGCCAACCAAGGCCCACTGGAAAAACATGCTTGCGGTGACATTTATTGCTTCTTGCATGTTTTATTGACACTTTCACAGTGAAATGTTTAGAGAGTGGTGCTAAAATTGCGTTCAGTTTTACCCCAAACCGATCAACGTGAATCTGGCAATGTTTTACTATGCTGGTTGCTGTATGTATCACGGCAGTTTGGAAATAAAGTGTCCGGTGAGTGGCACTACAAGACTAATGCTCCATCACGCTTGAAAATAACATACTACCTACACTAAACCTATAATGTTAACAAAAGCAAATATGAGATAAAACACATTTGCTGAAGCAAGTCTTTGAACACTTTGATTGTGTTTCACAGATGTGTTTCATCACAACTGAAATGCTGTACCAGGTGCGCTACTGAGCAAGTTTACCACATCAGAAAAGCCATACATATGGAGCTAATTATATAATGGGAACATCATGTATTAGGTTACAAATCATGCACTATGGTAAAAGTGTTTTGAGGTCATAACACTGTGCAAGGAACTGCATGAAAATATGTGTTTTTAAACGAATAATCTGTACCTGTAATCATAATTTGTATGAACAAAACATGTTTTTTTTCTCCCAAAAAATTAGTCCCAACTCTGTCCCAGTGAGATTTGATTGGTACGATGAAGCTAAAGCTCAAAGTGCACCCATGAACATCTCTTTGTAAAATGTCATAATTTGCTATTGTTGTAGTGAACTTTAATACATCAAATTATATTAAATACAACAGCAGCCTAAAACAATGCTTAAACAGCTATTTGGTTATTAGTTAATATTTACCAGTTGGTTATCACTGACCAATAACCTGCCATAAGTGACACCTGCCCAAAAGGAAATTAATTTCATTGGGCACTGCAAGTTATAGATGAAAGATGACAAAGTATTTTATTTCCTCAGTAATAACGTGCACTGATTAATCGTGCAAAATAAGAGCAGGAACATTTATTGAGAAAGTAAATAGGGTCAATTTTGATTTCATGTTGACTTTAAACATGAAGTGATGAGAAGCAGAAATAGACAGTGATGGCCAATTTCCCCTTCAAAAGATGCAACAATCATATCTTAAACCTGCTTAACATGAGTGAAGGATGCAATAATAAGAAACCAAAGCCAGCAAATAATTGTCCATTCAGACTCCCTGCTATTAAGATAATATCTTTGATTTCCAATCATCCTGATGTAGGGGTGAAGAGGTGTGTGTGTGTGTGTGTGTGTGTGTGTGTCGTGTCAGTGTAGGGTGCCTGTAACACAATAACGCAGTGGCAGGTCTATTTGGACGTCTTGTCAAGAGCACATCTGAAGGGCGTCCAACTGCTCTTTACAAGGGCTGCAGGAAGCCCCATTTCCACTCGCCGTTGCTGCAAATCACATTGGCCAATGCTGGACGCCTAATAGCTAGAGATGGACCTTAAAATAAAGTGTGACCAAAATATTTTTAATATTTTAAAATTATTTAGTATTTAATGTTATATATGTTAACATTATGTAGTACTAATAAACAGCCAATATGCTAATAATATGCATGCTAATAAGCAACTTAATAGTGAGAAATGGTCCCTATACTAAAGTGTTACCAGTTTTTTTTTACTTGATTTTCAGCAACAATGGCAGTTTCTGAGCAAAAATTATAATTATATGTTTCATGTCATCACAAGGCTGTACATTTTTTACAAGATAGAACATTATTTTAGTTTCATTGCCCATCTCTAGTTTTAAGT